TATTTACTTACGCATATTACTGGTTTTTTGTTACTACTTTCGGTGAGAAAATTTATAAAATTTCATATTCTTAGTGTCGTCTACTAGTGATGATAAGGTACTTTCAAGGAGCATAGCTCCCATGCCCACCACCTTCACCACTCCCACCTCCATATCTGCCTCCATGAGCACCTCTTTCACCATAGCCGTCACCACCTCCACCACTAGAGCTGATGCTGCCCCTGCCGGAACCTCACCCGACTCTTGATGTTTGATCCTGACCCATCCTTAGATGTAACCATTTCTAAGGTGATCCTTTAGGGCAAACCTTTTTCGAGGTTCAAGTATTGGACACAGAAACACAAAAGAATATCATTATGGACAAAAATAATATTTTAAAATAAGATTCGACCTGATTCAACTTTGAATAATATTAAAAAAAAAATAGACAAATATTGTTAAATTGAATAACGAGGAGTTTAACGTCCCTTAAATAATGTATCGATTTTAAATCTTGTAAAAGTAAAAAATCTAACAATAAAAGAGTTTGGTTTTTAAAATAAGATAGGACTCAACTCAATCCTAAACTAAATTAAAACATTTATCAAATGCCCCAATCCCAAACTTTATCAAAATGGGATTGGACCTTTTTGACCCATTGGAGAAGCACAGAACAGAAGTAGAACCCACCCAAATTTTGTGAAATGCACAACCCCAAAACTCATTATACAAGGCCTCATTCACCTGGGGATGAAAAATCATTTGCTGCTATCAAAGGTACGTCCGTAGCAAACTAAAACACCCATGACTTGTATTTGAGTAGTTGTATCTATAAGGTATGTACGTTATTAATTAATTAAAAATATTCAGAATAAATATTACTTTATAATCATCCCAACTATTAAAAAACACCTCTCCTCTCAAGCTTCGGACAACAACGGGTCCATCGTAGATGCATGTCTGGATCAAAGAGAAAAACATTCCCAAATAATTTACTTCACTTTTTATCTTGTCTAGAGAATCATGCATAGAGCATTCATCCTAAATGAAACACGTACTGGAAAGCTTTGAGCAGCAACATTCATTGCGGTGGGACTGCATGGTGAAACTCACCTCGTCGGTTCAGTGCCTAAAAGATTCGAGTGCTAAGAAACTCTTGTTTCTTTTGCTGCTGGATTTGATGGGTGAACAGTTGCATTATTATTCATTGAGCATCGTTTATGATGGAATTTGGACCCAAGTCGCTTTGGGATTGCTTCTTTCCTTTTGCCTTTGCCCACGTTTCCTCGAATTTAATCCACCAATCATTGCCTATCCATTCAACTATGTTGACAGTTTGCTAGTTTTATCTTTTGGTACGTTAGATATTTATTTGTAACTTGGATTTTTTGTGTCACATGTTTTCTCTTTTATAGAAAAATTAGAGATCATGAAATTCATGAACCCACTCATGGTAATTATGGAGAGCCTATGCATCCATATCACATTTTTTAAAGTACAATTATAAATAATATTTATTTAAATACTTATAATAAGAATTTATCATTATAATGCATGGTCAAATTGATAATAAGAATAAATTTAGATATGGTAACATACAGTGAGATTTAATATAAAATAAATATGAAAATAATTCACACATAATTTACCTAGGATGAGAACTCATCAAATGACCTCAGTGGTAAAAAAGAATGTTGTTATAACTAGAGGTTTTGAGTTCGAGTAATTACATCTTAAAAAAATTCTAAAGACTCGAATACGAGATCTCAAAATACTAAGAATTTCATCCCCTCTGAGTTTTTTTGTCAAATGATAATTTAGGTCCTATAAATTTAATCTTGAGTTCATATATTTAATAAACACTTGTATTTTTGAAGTTGAATAATTTAATCTGTCCCGATGTTTGATCTCGAGTTCATACATGCATCCATGGCCAGGTAAGTTGATACATGAGAAAGGAACAACAGTAGCTTTGGGGTGCCACTTGTTTGAAAAGAGATTTTAGGTGTGTGATTTGAAACATAGAATGAAAGAAGAAGCAAAGGCAATTGCCCACCAAATACTAAAACTACACTTCCACCTTCAACGTGGGGCATCTCCCCCCACATGACTTGCCTCTTAACACTGGACTAACTCGGTAACTCGTCCTAGTTTGCTTACCTGTTTCTCAAAAGCACTTTGGAACTCCATTTTTCTAGTTGAAGTTGACCCTAGGTCCCCCAGTCCACGTGTCAGAAACCCAGAGAATGAAGATTCTCTTCGCACACCCAGCTAGGGTACCCTTTGCCTCACACCGCTGTTTCCTGCCTGGAAATGGATAATTAAGCAAACTATATTCATTTTCCAAAAGAGAAAACAAAAAGGATAATTTATTTAAGGCCAACATGGAAATACTGTAACCTAATTGTCGCATTTACTTAAAGCTTTTGTAAGAAAAGATTCTGTCTAATAATTAATTGAAACCAAAAGGAAAAGGTAGAAACATGAAGTTGCCATTGAGTTGTACTTGGCAAGCTGCAACTGTCCTCTTTATATGGACACAGTAGTAATACCCTCATTTAATTAAGTCTAATAGACATGTCAAACTACATACGATGAAATGATAAATAGATTTTTTTTGTCCTACTATTTTTCGAAACTTTGTCTTGACTAATTCAGATCGATCCGTGTTGCACATCTAATTTTGATGGGAGAGTCTTTCAACAGAAATTTTCTGCATACACAAAACCTCGAACACGAGATTTGTTTAAACGATATCAAACTACTTACCACTTAAACCAATATAAAAAATGATAAATAAATTAATATCTTTTAAATCTTATATTTGAGGTTGTTTAACAAGTATGACCAAACTACTTACCACTTGAACTAATATAAAAAAAGATAAATAAATTAATATCTTTTAAATCTTATATTTGAGGTTGTCTAACAAGTATGACCAAATTTGATTCTTGATGGGGAGATCACATGTCAGATTGAAGTGAATTTTCTATCTATCCATATACGATGTAATATTATAACAATAAAATTGATCTTGACTCAGGTTCAATTTTTTTATCCGACTCGACCTATAAATTTAATTTAAATTTGAATCTGATCCTAATTTAATTTAATATATATTTTTAAAATTTTCATTTACCTTTTTTTTTAAAAAAATATTAGTTAATTCAATTTAATAACATAAAATGAAAGTAAAATTTAATTTAGCCTCATAGTTTTAGCACTTTATATTCTAAATTTCTACATATATATCTTTTTAAAACCTAACTGATAAAATATCAGTACATAAAAATTATTTTTATAATTATCTTATATCGGAACCAGATTAATTTTCTATAAAAACCTGAATTTTATTAAAAGATCAAATTTGATCAAAACTTATCGAGTAGGAGCTTGTATACTTAAATTTGGAGATGAAATATTAATATAAAGAAGAAAATCAGAGGTAGGAGATTTTAAGCAGATGAAGTGGTAGTTTCAGAATCTTGACTTGTGCTATCAAATATATAAATGATAAACAAGTTTTGGAGCAACCAAAAGTGGTCAAAAGTCCACACATTACAGCAAACCCTTGAGATTCTTGCTTATTCAGAATCTTGGCCAATTCAGATTACATGTGATAAGGTTGTGTGTTACTATACAATATTGGAATTGTAATCATGCTTTCAGATTCACACTCACTGCCTTCTCAACGTTTTTACTCTATCAATTTATTCAAATACATTTCTAAATTTATAAGTAATGTCCATCATATAAGTATTTATTATAATTATAATTAGGGATGGATATTTGATTCAAAATCAATAATTTCGATGTCGGTTTTTTTTTAAAAAAATAATTAGGTTTGGGTTTTGGTCAAATTTTATGAGCATAATTAACCTTTATAAGCTCGGGTTAGATTTGGATTTAGGATAAAAAGTACCCAATTTAACTAGAAAATAATTGTATAATTAACCTTTATATCTATGAGAATAGTTACTATAATATTCTTCACAGTATATTTTCAATTAGGTCCTTATTCTACCTAATAAAAAATAAGAATATTATATATATATTGGGTCGGGTGCAGATTTTTACCTCATGAATTGGGTAGGATCTTAGGTTGGATGAATCTTCCCTAAACTCGATTTAGTTAATAGATGAATGAATGTTAACTTAAATCAAGTTCAAGTGGGGTTAAAATCTAATCTGATCCGACCTATACCATATCTAACTGCAATACCCTATTGATTGATAATAAGAATATTTCTATATTTAAATAGTAATAAATTTAGATTTAAATTCATATGTAATATTAACATACTATGAACCTTAGATTTAAGATTTCAATAACAATAATTGAAATACCGCATACTGAATGGTTTTAAAAATTGAATTTTACATTTAACACAGTTATTGTAATCAATGAGTTGAAAGAATAATAGAGGTTAGTGATTGTAAGATTCTTTTGATATAAAAAAACAATAGCAAATGATTATAAGGAATGTACATTTAAACTATACATTTATTCAATGGTAAAATACATTTTGATCTTATAAAAATTTGTAATTCAATTTTAAATTTTAATAATATGTTAAAAATTTATCATTAGTTTATATATTATGTATAAATTATATATTTAATCAATTTTAATGGATGTATTTTTTAGTTTTAAAATTTAAGTCTTGATATTACTAAATTACAAGAACTTTAAATGATTATAAGTGAACAACATAATTTAAATCTACAATTTAAGCATTATGCAAGAATTAATAACAAAATTTAATGTAGTCAAAGAGAAATATTACAACATTTACAAATACATAAAAAATTTAATACATAAACAAAATCAACAACTTACTCATGATATATAAACTAATAGTAATAGACATTAACTTTTAAAATATATTAAAATAAAAATATTATCATGCTTTTAACTTCGCTAGTAAAATTTAAAATATTAAGACTATTAATATATGAAAACACTCTAACATCAGTCACTCATATTCAATCAATTAAAAAAAACCCCTCAAATTTCAATATGTTTAAGATCTTAGTTATACTTTCGTTCGTTTTTGTTGTTAATTTTGTTTATATTTGGTTATAATTATACAAATAAAATAAAGGGAAGAATAAAGCTAAAAGAAATCACCCTCTATGCAAAGGAGAACGTTCTTGGAAAACCAATCCCCTCGTTTGCCTGAAAACCTTCATCGGACTCGGAAAATGCCAGCTCTTCGCTTTAGTAGATGCCGACAATTTCGATACTCCAATACCGGAATGTGAAGTCACCAGCACGGACCTTGACTTCGTCATCATCCTCGCCCGTTCATCCTCCGCCGCTATTCTAGCTTTCTCCCCTCCACTTTGGTGATCTTCACTCTCGTGTCGCTTGCTCTTATTGCTAGCTTTAAACATCGACCAAAACGACGGCGTCCTGCTCTTATTACCCGCCAAATCGAACTTTTCGCTTAAACGCTCAGGTTTCGAGTTGAGAAAAGGAATCACGAGAGATCTCGAACGTCGGAACGCAGGTTCTCTTTCGGTAAGATCGGAAACGCCACCGGAGCCGAAACTTTCGACACCGGAGGTATCCTCGGCCGCGGCTGTTGAGAAGCGATAGAAGGAAGAAGAGAAAGAGGTTGCGCTACACGCGCAAGGACGGCCGTGGGCGCAGTCGGGACAAAGAGAATCGAGCTTGTCTCGGAGGCAAAACGGACAGATTCCACTACGGCGACGTTTCGCAGGATGCTTTGAACATTTCCAGACCTCTTCTTCGTCCACGTAAAACGCCATTGCCACTTTGTTGAGAAAGGTTTTGTGCTTTCTTTTGCCTGTGGATTCTGTTTGGTTCCCTCTGGCTTTTTTCTTTCGCAGTTTGTGGTTTTCGTGAGGGGTGAGGATTTTAAAAAGCAAAGTTGTTTGATTGGGGCGGGTGAATTAACCGTGGTTAATAATTTAACTGTAGTACTAGTGGTATACTCGGGTAGAGTGAGTAGACTGAATTGAAACGATGCGTTTTGAAACTATGTGTGTTTAGAGACCATGAATTTTCGACAGATTTAATATATAATATAATTTATTTATTTTAATTATATATAACAAATATATAATTTACATTAAATCAACCCAAATTTATATTACGCAAAAATAAGATAAATGTATTACAAAAAGTAAGTTAATAAACTTAATTGATCAAATAAATAGATGTTAAATCGGTTCAATTTTATTGATTAACATTCATATAAATTCATCGATTTGATTATAATAGGATATTAATTGATTAAAGTATTTATATTAGAAAACTATCAATTTAATTTATTTTTAGTTTATTATTTGGAATTTGACTTCTTGGTAAACTATGATTTAGGGTTTAGGAAGAAATATGCGATTGGCTCACATCGCACGTAGAATAGACTAGAAATAAAACATGACTAATTTCATAACCTTAGCTTAGGCATTATAACTAAGTAATAAATTGAGAGTGGATACATATTTCAGATCTCATTGAGTGGGACGGATCGTGGTTGGCCGTCTAAGTGCTTGGGCCCAGCTTGCCTTGGACTAGTCTTTGATCTAATCTCTTCACATCTATGTCCATTTTCTTTTTCTTTTTTTTTTTTACTATGGAGTGGATTGAATTTGATGTAAAGTGAAAAATCTTACTTGACATTAGTTAGTAAGAGATTTTAAATATATTCTTAACTTTTATTAAGTAATTTAGTTATTTTTTTAAATGAAAAAAGAGTAGAAGCCTCAGTAGGCTTGCAATACAGGAATTCCATACAGTCTCAATTAAAAAGTTGATGTAAATATGTTGAGGGATCGTTTAGAGTTGTCCGCTTGCAATACAGGGACTCCATACAGTCTCGATTAAAAAGTTGATGTAAATATGTTGGGGGATCGTTTAGAGTTGTCCTAATGTCATCGTGAACGTTTGGGAGCTTAGCAAAGGTATCAACATGGCGGTTCCCCTCTCTTGGAGTCCATCTAACTTTCATCCTCCAGGAACCAAACATCGGGGAATCCTTCTTAGGCTCCATGTCAGTTTGGGGGGTCACAGACTCCTCTTGTTCATGGGCAACTACAATATTAGGATATGATCCTTGCAAGTGGTCGTATTTCCCACAATTGAAGCATATTGATGGGAAAGACTCGTATTCTACTATCTGGATTCTTCTATTGGCTACCAGTTTCGAGATCAAATGTTTGTTCAGGTCAATGTGGGTCGTTATACGTCTAAATCGTCCACGTCTACCGCTCTCCGTTTGATAGTCTAAACAAATAAACTGCCAATACATTCTCCAATCTCAGTAATAATACTGCGCTTGTAAAGAGCTGCAGGTAGCCCAGGTAATCGAATCCACGTCATGATTTTCCTCGGGTAGGGATTTGTCGGCCGTCCATGGCTCAACGGTAAGGTAATGTTCGAATACCGTCGAAGGTCCATCTGCAAGAGCAGTAAGGAAATCACCACGATAGTGAAAAGTAGCGAGAAAATAATCATTTTCAATATCCATAAATTTGATTGCTAGTTTTGGTTTCCATAATTCATAGATATTAAAGTGTTGTAACCAATGCCCTGCCCTAAAAGTTTGAGCACCACTGTCTGATCTAGAGATTTTGCTGCAATAGACTGGATGATATCGAAGAAGTCGATTGAGATCAAACCATCAATCATGCCGCGAACGACTTCACCTTCTTGGATTTTTATGTCTTCGTCATCGAGGATCTGATCATCAAAACTACAATTTGTAGCAGAATTGTTCATTGGAGTGGCTTTATACGACATCGGCTTACCCATCATATCATATTGCGGTATCGCTTCATCGAATTTCAATCACCATTGAGGGGTGCTTCGGTGAAAACATGGTTGGGAGGGATCTCCATCGGAGTTGTCCCGTCGTTGGGTGGAGGAGATCCGCTAAAATCTAGTTATTTTTTTTCTTTTTTAGATTTTTAGTTTCCATTAAAAAAACTCGAAAAGGCATGTCAGTTCTCTTAACGTCTTTAGATGAGACACTGCACCATCGGATCACCTCACCACCTTCGAGGAAAGCACAAGTTCAACCACAACCAGCACCACCGCCGGCAAAGACCACCGTCTCCATCAATCTCATCTGAATCCAGCTGCTAATTGCTTGTAGACCCGCAACACTCAACGACTGAATATACTACTAATCACAATGTTAGACCCCCTTGAATTCTTCCATGCTGATTACAGCATAGGAAGTAATTAAACAACTACTTTTCTTGATTGATAGATTTGACCTTGATTTCATAGAGTAGTTTTATTTATATAAGTTAAACTTGCGAATAATTAAAAGTTTTAAAATGCTATGGGTGAATGAAGGCACCATGGTATATGTTATGGGCCATTTCAAGCCTAATCTCTTCACGGGCTAGCCATTACTAAAGTGGTGTAAATTCTTTTAAGAAGCGACCCTTATTAAACTTATTTGCCACTAAGGCCCAATATTTCTTTAAATATCAACGTGATTAACTGAGTTAACTACGTCACATGTTCTCAAATTACAACTCTCATTTTAAATTGGTACTCAAATTTTTAAATATTTTAATTTTAACTCTTAAATATGTCTCTCTTTCTAGATTAGCCCTCACATTTTTGTACATTTCAATTTCATCCTCAAACTATGACATTCATTCTAAATCGATCCCCAAACTTTTATTTCTTCCAATTTCATCTCCAAATTCATCTAAATGTGTAATTAGTTTCAACAATAGTTTAACATAATTTTATTTTTTTCAAACATACAATAATATAGTTGGGCTACCGATTTTATTTACAAGGGAAGTGATTAGCATATATTGATAATTTTGGAAAAAAATTAAAATATTCAAAATCTTGGGGACCAATTCAAATCGATGGTTATTGTTTGGGGATAAAATTGAAATACTAAAAAAATATGAGGAATAATTTAAAAGAAAGTCATAATTTAGAGATAAAATTAAAATATTCAAAAAATTGAGTATCAGTTTAGAATGAGAGTTATAATTTGAAGACGCGTGATACAATTAATTATGATTAATTAGTTAAAAAAGGATAATTAGCCATCAAAAAATTCTATTTAGTACCAAATCCTAATTCATTCCATTTTTATCAAATTTTAATATTGCTTTGTTTCGTTTAAAATAATTTTCAAAAAATAAGTTTAGAAAAATTTGTCAACAATAAAAAAGTTTCACACGTACACATTTAAATATCTTCCTATATCAAATATACAAAAAAAACATAATCTATTTTTTTCTTCAAAAATCACCTTTTAAAATTAATTTTTAATTAATCAAACCAATAATACACTAACAAAAAATATTACTTTAATAATAATCAACATTAAATTTCAACTTCAATCCGGGCAATTCCTCATTTACCCTTAATAAAAGAAATTATTGCACCTTATTAAACACTATTTACTTCTAAATAAATGTAATTAATCTGAATATAACAAATTAAAATCCCAAAATCCCAAAGCTTGTAAAGTAGGGGATTGGTTAACATGAATTAAGCCAAAGTTCTAGAAAGCTATCTACAATTTCAACTATAAAGGGTTCTTTTTAAAATCAAAAATAGTCAAACATATTAATTATTATACACTTATAGTCTTCCTCATCTATAGATAAAAGGAGAAAGTACTTTCCTATCTTTTGCAGACTAGTCTTCATCTTCATAACTTCATTCAATATCCCTTCCTTCCATGGGATTTCAATGTTTAATAATTTTGTATTCATAATCAAATATCAGTTAAATATATGAGAGTCAACATTATTTCTTCATTTGTAAAAATTAAAGTCAAACCTTTATTTAAAGGATATGAACTTCTTACCTGTATTGAAAATAATTATTAATTAGTTTAATGAGATGAAGTGTTAGATTTCTCAAGTAAAATTAGAAATATAGATTTTGATTTTATGAATAAAAAATTAAATTTAAATAATCATTAATATAATAAATTTATGTGATATCTTATTAAAATTAATCAATTAATGAATAAAAAACAATGATTATAAAAATTATAAATATTCTCTCTTTTCTTTTGGGTCAATCCTCAGTCCCAACAATAAACTAACAAAGCCGAACCCGTAACAAAGAAAGTTCCTAAACTATTTCAATTGTTCCCTTGTTTTGGGCAAACTTCATTCAAGCAAAAGACAAAGGACTCTATACAATTACAAACACATATTGTGTTTAGTCAAAGTCAAATTCCACATGTAATGACATGGCAAAATTTCACTGGCTAGTACATTTTATGTATGATAATATTTTGGCTTTAGTGTTTGGGTGTCCCAAATTTGAATAGAAATATGCAACTATGTAAGTAATGGATGAAAAAAATATAATAACAAATTTAATCTCAATACTTGTATCACTTTTTAATTTGACCCTTTTAGCTAAATTTGATTTACAACCTTTTTATATATATAAAAATGTAAAGTTTGATCTTATATTTTCAAACAAAAATTCTAATTAAAATGTTAAACTTGAAATATTGTTGGCATGACAATTTGCATGATAATTTCTATATATATATATATATATATATATAAAATTGTTAGTCAAGTTTGTTATTGGCATGATATTAAAATTAGCCCCCGATGTTCATCTAAATGGTCATTTTGGTCTATATTTCTTTTTGAGATAATTTTGGTCCCAACATTTCATTTTAACATAAAAAGACGCCTAATGTTTAACTTAATATTCAATTTGACCTTTATTATTTTTTTTGAGCACTTTATCCCCTCAATATTTCATTTTAGGTTAAAAATATCATATTTTGGAGTGTTGATCATTTGTTAACTAACGATTTCTATCAATGGAGATATTTTTATCTCAAAATAAAACGTTAGATAAAAGAATAATCCAAAAAATAGGAGTCAAAATAATAATTTAATAAACGTTGAAGGTTAATTCTAAAATTATGCATTTACTGATGGAGAATGAGGGTCTCACATTACATAAGCAATGATGCACTACAATAATAGAAGTGGGTCCCAAAACTCGGAGGGACGGGTCCCTTGGGGCATTATGGGACGGTCGACAAAAGCCGAATTATGTGTTTATTTATATTATTGTGAAACCGAGTCAAACAACATGAAACACGGTGTAATAGGTTAAAGAAAAAACATCAAACACCAATATTTTTTTTATGTGGTCGTGAATGGGGGGCGGTGCCCGTCGCCGTGGGTTCAACTTTGAACCTTTGTGCTTTTTGACTTCCTACTTCAACCTTACACTCAATTATATGGGATAAAATTCAATTTAATTACACAATAATTATCATTATTATATGAAATTTATTTCATCATGTAAATGAAACACTGTCGAGGTTTGAGATTTTTTGTCTCATGTTCGTAAATAATATGTGTATTTTCAATTAATTACCTCGAGTTAAATTAATTATTTAATTCAGCGTTTATAATTGATTAGTTGTAATGTATATTAAATATATTTACCGATACGATTTATTATTGTAATTTTAAAGAAAACTATTTTAAATATAAAACACCCTAAATTCAAATTTTACATGCAAATGACGCATAAACATGACCCTCTCCATAAAAAAATTAAGTGAAACTTGTTTTTTGGTTTTATATCTTTGAATTAACATGAGGCTTATTAAATTCATATTTTTAATTCAAACCTAACCCCATATTTACGGCCAACATTGTCGAAAATTAGATATCTACATTATCTCATCCTTACACAACATGCTAACCTTTCAAACTATATATTTAAAAATTACATTTGATTCGAACAACGCATAAAAATTAGGATAAATTATATCAAATATCACTAAAATTTAGGAGATGTATTATTTATATCATTCAAATTTTAATTACTCCGATTATAAATCTAACTTCTGGTTTGATTTTATTATACCATTGGGATTATTAAAATTTAAATAATGTGATGATATAGAGAAAATAATATATGTTTGGTATAACTATTAATGACTAAATCAACATCATTTTATACAATAAATTTTAAGAGTGTATTAATTTTGTCGCTAAACTTTTAAACAATTCATTTTTTCGATAGTCGTTGACAATGAATTACACATGCTACCAATCGCCTTTTGCTACAAGATCAGTATCAAAACTTTCACATTCCACTTGTCTTTCTTCTTATATAATTGGGTTTTCACAAAACTCACACAAAATTGACGAAATTAAACAAAAGAATCTATTTTTTTTGGGATCAAGAGCTTTCTTATATTTGAGGGGTTTGGGATGTTTGTTCGAAAATCCATTTATTGATCAATGTCGAGCGATAATTGATGGCCAATAATGATCATAAAATATAGTGTTAATAAGTGATACATTTAAAGTTTAATGGTCAAATTGATACATATATAAAATTTAATGCCTAAAATAACGTCGTTTTGGACATCAATAGTTGTGTCAAAACAACATCGTTTTGTCTAAATCATCACAGTCATACTGTTAAAATTTATCGATACAATACTATAATTAAAATAAAAAGTAAAATTTAATATATTTCAATAATATATAATATAAGTTACCTAAAAATTACTAATTACAATATCATAAATAGCTATTTTGAATTAATTGGCTACAATGACACAGTTAATTAATACATTAAAATAATCGCACGCTTGAGAAATATTTTCTTTTTAGAAAAAGGATAAGACCAATATTGAAAATGAAAGGGAAATAAAAAAGAAAAAGAAAAGAAGGCAGGTTCGATGCACCCGTCTAGGTTTTAGCTTCGGATTCAGGTTCGGCTGTGGACTTTATTTAGATAAGAACGACATCTCCCCTTCTCTGTTTCCATTCTTGTTCTTCCTCTCTGAGTCTCTCTGTGTCTCGAAATCCCTCACTCAAACAGGAAAAAGAAAAAAGAAAAACAGAGCATACTTTCTTTCCAATTAGTTCAAGCTGGCGATCGAAAATAATGAAACCACTGTCCGAGAAATCAAGCCCAAGAGCAGAAGAATTATGGTAATTTCACATTCTTAAAACGAATTCATTTTTCCTCGTTGGAATGGTTTTTAACGGCTTTGGTTTTCGTTTGATAGGGAGCCGGTGGGCCTGAGGAAGAAGACAACAGGTGGCCGCCATGGTTGAAACCTTTGTTGAGAGAACAATTCTTTGTTCAATGCAAGCACCATGTTGATTTTCACAAGAGTGAATGCAATATGTTCTGCTTAGATTGCATGAACGGCGCCCTCTGCTCTCTCTGCTTAGCTCATCACAAGGATCATCGTTATATTCAGGTTCGGTAATCTCTCTTAAAATTTCTGGGATTTCCCCCCCTCATCTTTTCACACATTTTCTCAGCACCCAAACAGGTAATTGACTTGAATTTTTCGACAGATAAGGCGATCTTCGTACCACGATGTAATAAGAGTATCTGAGATACAGAAGTATCTAGACATATCTGGAGTTCAAACATATATTATCAACAGTGCCAAGATTGTTTTCTTGAACGAGAGGCCGCAACCGAGGCTCGGAAAAGGCGTGACCAACACTTGCGAGGTCTGTGATCGTAGCCTTGTGGACTCCTTCCGGTTCTGTTCTCTCGGTTGCAAGGTACAATTCCCCTGTTTCTACTATTCTAAGTTAAATTTTCTCGGGTTTTGTTTGGTAGCCGAGAAACTGTAGGATAAATGAAGATCATAATTTGAACGAGTTTTTCTGTTAATTATGTGCGAGTGCAGATAGTTGGAACATCAAATAGTTCCCGTAAGAAGAAGAGGCCGTTGCACATGGGCATGGCATTAGACTCTGAGGATTCATACAGCAGCGGTAGCAGCGGCCATGGAAAGCTAAACAACAAAGCGCGGAGCTTTAGTCCGTCGACACCGCCTCCGACTTCGGTTAATTATCGGACTGTGAAACGAAGAAAGGGGATTCCCCACAGAGCTCCGATGGGAGGACTAATCGTAGAATTTTAGGCAAACCCATAAAGATAAATGTTCACTATTAGTCATAGTTCAGTTAGTATTAATGCTGTTATAACAATATCAAGGGTATATGTTTTAACACGTTATAGCGTGTAATATTTAGTTAATGTCGGATTTTTGGGGGAAAAACCGACATCGACACACTATATATACTATTGTGTACATTACATGATATATGTATAGGAGCAGCAAAACATAGAAGTGAAAAATGATAATAATAAGCTATTTGGAATGCTTAGTTTTTAATATAAACTAGGGTTTGTTTTCTGGTTTTAGGGCAAGACCAGAAGCAGTTGAAACACAAGGAAAAAAAATAACATCTAGTCCTCTCCAAGGGGATGTTTGTATTTTTGCCTATATATGAATTTTGTATCCAAACATAAAAAGTCCGTGTATAATTTTAGTTTATTTTATCTATTATCTAAATGTTATTAAGAATAAAGTCAAATAAGACTTTAAAACAATTATTCAATTTATTATTGAAATCAGTGATTAAAATCGAATAAAATTGAAATGAAAATGATAATTTTAATAGTTAACCTAAAATTTATTAACAGTTATAAAGTAACTTCACTAAGACACACAAAATGAACAAACTGTGATATAATTTTTGCACACTTAATTTGCGTTTGAATGCAATAAAATACACACGAAATTGGGTGTTTCGATAAGTGATTAGGGAGATGGACCCACCATTGATCAAGTTGTCTAAGCCATGATGTCATTGAATTTAATAATCCTTTTCTAATATTTTAATATGATGCTTAATGGCTAGCCGATATGCATCCATAATTCTTATCATGCGCACACTATGATGATGGTGATTTTTCTAGGATAAATTATATGTTTAGTATCTTAACTATTATTTTTATTCTATTTTAGCATCTTTTTTTCTTAAAACATACTTTTAGTTTAGTTTTCATTTTAGTATACGTCGTTAAAAACTTAATAGAATTGTTGATATGGTGTTTTTTCTATTTTTTTTAGTGATGATGTGATATTATCTTATGATGGCATGTTAACATCAACGTTAAGTTGCAACGACGAGATATTAAAATAAAACTTAAACTAAATATTAAATATGATTTTTGAAGAAAAAAGTTTTAGTGTCAAATGAAACAAACGTAATAATTTAGATACTAAATTTGTAATTTACCTTTTCTTTATTCTTTTGGTGTCTCCCAATCGTGGGCCCTTTAGCACCGTATCACATCGATTGGTTTATTAAATTAAAATTTCTTGCGTATTAGCTTACCTAAATGTAACCTAATTTTCTCAATATTATATATCCTCTACAATGATGTCATTAGTGATTAATGGCTTTGTTAGTGTACAACTAAATATTTGTAGGGACGGAAAGTCGGAAAATGGATCAAAGGTAGGATTTAATAGCATTACATTTTCTAACTTTAAAGTTAACATATAAGTAGGAATAATTAAAATACTTCAATTTTATGAGTCTTGATCTCACTCTATCTTATAGCTTTTAAAATATACAAATTCAAGATGAATTTCATGAAAGAGAAATCGAGATAAGGCATAAACAGATTTAGGATAAAAAAATTTGGTTTCAATCTGATTGAATATTTATTATAATAGTCTCTATATGTATTTAGAAGTATAAATGAATCGAACTTGAACGAACAAAGTTATATTTGTGTTTGTTTGTTTGTTTATTTTTGAAGATGTTCATATTTAGTTCATGTTCGTTTAAATTTTTAATATTGTGTTTGTGTTTGTTTATTTAGTTTTGAAGTTGTTCATGTTCATTTATTTAGAGCGTGTTCCTTTGGTGTTCATGAACATGTTCGTTTATATGTTCAATTTTTTGTTTTACCCTTTCATCTCTATAAGCTAAAGAAAATGGTAAAATAACGCCATTAGTACTTAAATTCCTTAAAATCCACAATTTAAATTTCAACTTTTACCATGTGTTCAATTTATTCCCTACCTTCACCAATATTTCAAATGTAAAAAAAAAGGAAAAAGAGAACCGGGTAAATGAGTTTGTTCATAAACAAAAATGAACGAGTCGATAAACGAGCTTGTTTGTTAACATAAACGAATCGAATACACCTTTGTTCGTGCTTGTTTGTTTATTAAATTAACATAAAAAATTTGTTCATACTCGTTTATTTAGTTTAACAAACGAACATAAACGAATGCTATATAAATAGTTCATCGAACGCTATGTTCATATGAAATCTTACATATATTTAGAGATACTTATTATAATATATATATTTAAGTGTCTTTCTATTTTGTCTAATAACATGTAGGAAAGAAGCATGCATTTTGAGTTGGGCCGAATGAATTTTTATTTAAAATTCTAGACGAGTGAAACATCAACAAATATGAAACAAGAAAAGCCCAAAGCCACTTTCAATCCGATTTTGTGTGCGTTGAAACGTGGAAGCCCAGATCTTCACTCGCTCCTCTAGATCTTGTCAAGAAAACAAAGTTGAAACCTTTGCTTTGCAGCGAACCTGAAACTCAGAAAAACAATGGCAGCTGTTGAAGCAGTAGCAGCACTTTCCTTTTCATGTTTCCCTTCTTCCTCTAAGTCCCTCTTATATGCCAAACCCACAGCGCTTTCTTCTTTAACTTTCAACATTTCCAAGCCCACGCATTGGCTTTCTCGCAATATCTCCATTTCTCCGTTAATCAGCTCCCAAAAGAAGCTAGGTTGTATTCACAGCTCTACACTGCAAGAGGTGGGTTTAGAAGCTGAAACAGATAAAACACAGAAAGGAAATTTGAGGAAAAAGCTTTTTGTGTTAAATTTGCCTTGGCCTTATACTGTTGCTGATATCAAAGATCTCTTTGGCCGATGTGGGAATGTTACAGATGTTGAGGTTATTTCCTTCTCTAATACTATTGGTTTCTCTTTCTGTCAATGAAAAGAAAATAACTTTATGTCTTGTTTTTTCAGATTATAAAGCAAAAAGATGGGAGAAATAGGAACTTTGCATTTGTAACAATGGCTTCTGGTGAAGAATCTCAGGCTGCTGTTGATAAACTCGATTCTAATGTAAGTTTTGTTTTCAAAATTTATTTACCTTCTTGTTTGGTTTGGTTGAATTAAGGTCTGCCATATATTCTATGAAATCTTAGCAATTTGGTCCTTTTACTTGCATGTAAATCCATTTGCACATTTTCGATGTTAGATTGGACTAAATGAAATCTTTGTGAGGTGGATATATGAATGATTATCAGTTGTTAGATATTTGATGATGTCCTTGGAATTAACTAGGTCCTGTGTTGGATTGCTCATTGTTGGTTTGGAAGGTGAGGGTTACCCTCAATTTTACATGAAATGCGGCTTGGTTTGGTATAAGGAATGAAAACTAGAACGCAATAAGCTACTTCTATAAAACTTAGTTCGACAAGCCTGGTCTTTTCCGGTTCATTTAGTATGAACCACATTCAAAAGTTTTTGAGTTGTTTGTTTTACTCGATAATTTTATTATAAACTGTATGCTAATGGTTCGTTAGTTCGACTAAATCGGATCACTAGCATTCCCTGATTCAGATTATGCATGCCAACTTGAAAGTCGCTAGGGAGATGACAATTTCAGGTAACAAAGGTTACCCTTCTTGAATGAGTTCATGATGGAGCAGAAGCTGAAATATCAAAAAAATGATGAATACATTATCATCAAGAATAAAATAAGCGACTTGCTTTCTGATAAATGTATCTCATTTTACATATGTTAAGTATGATTAATGGTGCTGGAAGTGTCGGGGAGAATTATTAGAGTAGAGTTTGCAAGGAGATTCAAGAAACCTGCACCACCTTCTCCACAGCCAATTGTTCCTTCTCGTGAGACACGTCATAAGCTTTATGTATCGAATCTTGCTTGGAAAGTTAGGTCAAGTCACCTCTGAGAAATTTTCTCTGCCTTTAACCCAGTTTCAGCTAGGGTTGTTTTTGCTACCCCTACAGGACAGTCTTCTGGTTATGGCTTCGTTTCCTTTGCCACAAAGGAGGAAGCTGAGGCCGCACTTTCTACCCTAAACGAAAAGGTAACCGAGTTTAAATCCATCTTTTTCACACTTTGCATCGCTTCACACTATTTTCTGCTCTTTTTTGGAAAGAACTATCATAAACTATAATTTTGGGTAATGCATTGATTTCAAGGCTTATGAAGGTGCATGATTTGAGTATAACTCTTGCATGATGAAATTTTCTTGGACATAAGTTTGATGTTCCTCTAAATGCAACTATTGCATTGTTGTTGATGAATAATTTCTCTCCGTAAGTTTCTTTATATCAGCTTTTTTGTAATCTTTGTTGAAACGAAATGGATAAAACAAAGTCATCAGTCTTCTTTAATTATCAGGAATTGATGGATCGGCCGATACGTTTAAAATTCAGTGAAAGAAAAGATGATGAGTCCGGAGGTGAAATGAAAGAGGAAAAGGGGGAGGCTGATGGCCAAAATGAAGTCTTAGAATCTTCACTTGGACCACATCTTTCAGAACAGTGTACATATGAGACTCGAGTCAGAAAGTTTTGTCACATGCCTATACAAGTGGCCTTTCAAAATGGTCAAATAAAGGCCAAACCTTTTTGAATATGCTAATATCAGAATATATAAATATTCAACCTATATTCGTATTCGACATTCACTAGGAATTCATTATAGGTGGTGGAACATGATCGTGTTGAATATAGGCATGTTTATTCTGATTGGATAATTATTATCTTATTATTAGGATCACTAATTCTTGTTATATTACATATTCATTGGAATCGTCTAAATATATGTCTTATACTTTGTCTAAATGGGTCTTTGGAATGTGCACAAAAAAAATCATTAAAGTTAATAGGTCACCGAGGGATTAGAGCATTGGAGATGGAAACCACTGAAAAAAAGAAGAAATGAAAAGAAGAGAAGTAACAACTAAGATGTTTGGTTAGCGAGAAAGTGGTTTCTTGGTCGTAACCCTTCCACAATGGTGCTATATCAACTTCCCTCTTGCTCCGATTGAGTTCCCCCGATGATTAGAGGTGCACAAAAATTCCGAATATCCGATTTTGCCTAAAAAATATTCGAAACCGGATTTTGGAAAAATCGGTTTTTTTTTAAACCGGATCGAATATTTAAAAACCGGATAGTATAACCGGTTTGGGGAAAAATTGAACGACCGGTTTTTTTACCGGATAAAAAACCGGTTTTTTATCCGAAAAAAATCCGGTTTTTTTTAAAAAAACTGGATTTTTATCCGAAAATTTTTGCAAACCGAAACCGGTTACACCATCCGGCCCTCCAAACTGGTTAGGATTCGATCCAGTTTTTTTAAAATCCGGTTTTTGGGTTAGGGGAAAAAACCGGATCGGATTGAAATCCGGCTTCTGTGCATCTCTACCGATGATGA